CATTCAATAAAATTGACATTGGCTCATGGCCAAATTTTTCTTTGTCCCCACTGAAAAATTTTTAGTGTGGCTTTTTTTTTAAAAGCTGCTATAATAATTGATTCCAATTAACTTATCCTCTTTAAAGTTAATAATAACTCCTTGGCAATGGAAAGAAAATCATTAAAAAAAGGTTGTTCACTATAGTGTTGCTCTTCTTTTTTTGTTCTAATTAATCCTATTTCTCCACCAGAGTTAAAAATATTACCATATTAGAGTCCAGATTTTGATTTAATTAATATGATTTTCACATAAAAATGTTATTCAGGTAAAAATAACCAATAAAATGATGAAAAGAGATAAAAATTTATTTAAATTTTGAATTGATTATATTTTTATTTTATCATTGAATTTTTATGAATTAATTATTACAACAAATTGTTAAGCATTAACCTTTTTATACACCCAATTACCATTATCATCTGTACAGCTTGGATTTGGTGTGTACTTGTCTTCTTTTATTTTAAAGATACCATAATCAAATACATCAAACCAAGTAATACCACTTTGTTGTACAGCTGCTATAGATGCTGGTCGCAATTCTTGGTGATGGTTGCAACCATATTTGTGACATATAAAAATGGTTTGCAACACCTGGTTGCAACCACCTTTGCAACCACTTTGGTTTCCTTTTTTGGATTGTGACATGGAACACTAACAGCTGCAACACAAAATCTTTCATTAAACTTTACTTGCCTAATGGAATAAAAATACATTTGATTAATATATATAATACATAGAACTCAAGAATTATTATAATTGATATTCACCATATATTAGTCAAATCCACTAACAAATCGTGTATATATTGTCCAGTTTTTATATCCTACATGCACAACCTTCCCTTTAAACCTGCTATTATTTTATCTTTATCATGTTGAAAACATCTTATTGCATCTGTGGTGATTACATGTCTGCATGTTCCATCATCAGGACTCAATACACGAAAACTAGCATGAGCAGTAGAGGCAACTACTGCAGAAACAAGGTAACCATGAGAAAGATCAAGCAGAATAATTCGATGACAACAGTGGCCTTAAATCATATAAAAATATTTTTGTCAATTATGTTAAATACAAAGAAAAATAATAATAATGTTGCTATATACTTTCTAATGTCCACAAGTTTGTGCCATCTATTATACTCCAGATTTTAACTGTGCCATCACTGCTTCCACTCCAGGGTTGGCAAATGTGTGGTCCACTGCTGGTTCTTCATTAACACTTTCTTGTACATTAACATCAACATTATTTTAATATTTATTAAATATTTTAAGTGTGATAATTAGAATCAGTTATTTATATATCATAAAAAAAATCCAAATAGTTAAAGATAATGAAAATTACCATTAATTAATAACCTTAATGAAAATGATGAATTTTCACTTGGAGATGTGAACATAAAGATCATTTTTACTAAGTTAAAAAAACGATCAAATTTGTTTTTTTTTTCCTTTATGTAGTACAGCGTGCTATTTTTTAATTTTTCGGATATATTAATATATATACTAGATTATCTCGGCCAATCATTTACAAATTATTTGTAATACATTTAATTTTTGTCCAATCAAAAGTCATATTTAAAAATAAAGACTATTTTTTTTCCCATTAATTTTTAATTTTTTTTTAAAAACTACACATCAACCAACTACTTTTTTAATTCTGTTTGTTCAACATAATACTCTAAAATATACATATATCTCAAATTTAAATATAAATCATAGTTTTCAAAATATTCAAAATACTGTTAATTCGCTCTATAGAGTGATTAATATTTAGATTGTACATACATTTATATTTTGTTTCTTTCGTACAATTAATTAAAATAATTAGTATTAATTGTTGTATATATAAATTTATGAAATCATGAAGAGTGGTAAGTGATAATAATAACCATCTGTACAACCTTTAGTACAAGAGCGGAGGAATAATAATTAAATAATTAAATATGTATTATTTATTAATCGTAAATATATAGAAATTACAACTATTACTGTTTCACAGCCTGTTGAGGATTCTGATAAAATTGTAGATCCTTCTGTTTCCACTACTACAAACATTAATGATAATAATGATAAAAATAATAAGACATCAACGGTGCAAAAAACCAATGATGACAATGATAAAAACAAGTCAAATTTAACTGAAAATAATAATGACGATGATGATAACGATGATGATGACGGTAAGAAATTTAATAATATATGTATATCATAAAATAATAACAAAATAATAATATATTAACTGCTACCAATATATTATAGAGCTTCTTATTAATAAAAGACCAAAGAGAGCAGTGAAGCAAGTAGTTCCTTTTAGCTATGAAGCTAAAGAATCCAAGAGTCGCTCAAGAAAGAAATTAGAAAATATTGGCCAAGGCTCAGGAACACCTCTTGGTGAAATCCCTGCTGTTTCACGTAATATTAATCGTTTAAAATACAATGATGATGTATTGAAAGGTCTACACAAACTCTTTTATGGAACTGTTGGTATGAAAAATGAGATTAAATCAAACATCCGTCGATTTTCTGGATTTTCTAATGCCACGCCTGTAGACGAAATTGTCATTAAGGAAAAGTTGGAAAAATGGAAATTAATTGGACTGAAAAACATGTGTACTGTCTTTAACTTGAAAGCAAGTGGCGATAAAGGAACTATAATTGATAGACTTTATAGTTGGTTAATAAATCCAAAAGAAGTATCCGGTTCTGATGAGAGCAAGGCTCAGAGAAAAACTAAATCATCATTATTATCATCTAAAAAATCCAAAGCTCCTCGTAAGAAATCTGCTAGGGACATTTTTATGAATGAAAAAAGATCATTATATAGAGCTATGGAAGAGCACAAATCTAAAAATCGTGTTGACATTGATAAGATTTTATCTGAGGCATGGAAAGGCGTATCTGCTGAGGAGAAAAAAGAATTCGAAGAAAAAGCAAAAGAAGAAAATATTAAGACCGGTAAAACAATTAATAAAAAGGTAGTCTATATATTTATTAGATTATTTATTACCCGTGACTGAGAATAATGTTAATAAAAAAATATTATTCACTCATTCAAACTAATTTAGCAATCATCTAAAAAAGCTAAATCTTCTGAAACAAAAAACAAAACTGGTTCTGATAGTGAAAGTAATGAAGAAGAAGAAGATGAAAGTGAAGATGAAAACAATGAAGGCGAAGATAATGATGATAAAGTTGCCGATGGCAAAACTGATGATGATGATAAACTTGCTAATAAAGATGATAATAAAGAAATTGGCAAGGTTGATAACGACAATAGCAAAATGGATATTGATAAAATTGTCGTGAAAACTCAAGACGATGTGAAAAAAAATAAAGAGTCAAATGGCGTTGATAAAGGTAATGATAAAGAAAAGTTGATGAAAGACGACGAAGATCAAGAAATTAAAAAAGGAATAAGCGATGAAGCTGAAAAAGTAACCAAAGTTTCAAGAAAGCGCAAATCGGCAAATGATGACAAGGATGAAAAATCTGGTGAAAGTTCTAAAAAAAGTAAAGCAGCAACACCAGTAGAAGTTAGTCCCGGTGTCGAGAAAGCTTCTAAAAGTTCAAGAAAACGTAAAACACTAGGAGAATCAGGAGAACTAGTAGAAGATCAAGATGAACAACACAAAAGTTCATCATCAAAAAAGATCCAAGTAACCGATCCTGCAATTGAAAATAAACGAAAACGTGGCAAAAACTGAAATTATAAAATATTAGCAGAAATCAAATTTTGGAAAAAAAAAAATTTTTTTTCATTTTTTATCAAATATTTTTTTTTTTTGATTTGTCGTTCGTAGTATTAATGTTATTATTAATAAAAAATATTTTTTTCGTTCTAATTTTTGATTATTTTTGGATTGAAAGTCCATTCACATCGATGGCTGGCTATTGTTGTAAATGATTCGGCTGTGTGTCAATTAATCGAATAAAGATATCGTGTAAAATTTTTTAACAGGTTTATTATTATTTTAAATAATAAAACAAAATATGGCACTAAAAATACAAGATAATAAATTAATAAAATTCTTTTTTTATGTCAAACTGTTTGATGATTGTGCGCTAGGACCAGAAGAGAATGAAATTAAATTTCTCCGTCCATATTATATGATTTTAAAAATTATAAATTTTATAAAATTTTAATTACTTCGATTCTTTCCAAAATTTATCAATTCTTTAATATTTGATGACCAAAGATTGAAACTCGTATCAGCTAAATAATTATATAGTAATTCATGTTCTTTAACCGATTCTGATGACAAGAATCTAAACATAAATCTTTTTAATGCTGGTGCAAATGAGTTTGCTGGTGAATTATTTAATTTCCTCAGTAATTATTGCTTCAAAATTAATTGAACTTTCAATCATACTTTTCAAAACATTATCAATTACTATTTTATATTTCTTGTATGTTCAATCACTCCATTAGCATAATAGAGTTCATATGATATTTTTAAGTTTCAATCCTAGCTTCCATATATTCTTGAATTCATTGTTGTCACGAGCCAATGATGACAACCTGGCACCAACTGATGCTCGTTTAATAAAACATAAAATTAATTCCAAAAATGATAAAATTCTTATGATCTTAACAATTTAATATCACTAATAAGCTTGTAATAATATTAGAATGACTCAAATGCAAGTTTTCTTTATTCTGCTCAGTATAGTATTTTTCATAACCAATCTCTTGGCAAGCTCCCCTTCAATATTTCGTAAGTTATAAATGATTTCTTGCCCTTGTACAACAGCCAAACTTCTTTGACTATAAACCAAAAAATCATTATCTCATTCATAATTATTAAATTAATTTCTTTAAATTGTCCAATTTAATTTAGTTTCTGGTGGATAATAATACATTTTAGTATCAATTACTACGTTATGATTTCTAGATCCTTGTAAAAATTTGATAGGTTCACATTTTCCGATTGGTGTTGTCAAAATGTTTCTCAAAAAATTGTTTTGTATTTCTACAAGATTTTCTATGATTGCGCGCATACATATGATCTTTGATCTTCTGGACCAATTAACCCAAAGATTATTGGTCTGTGCGTGTTCATTTCTGGTACATCTACCAGTTTTTTTGTATTGGTTACTGTATCTTCTTTGATCATTTGATTCCATGATAATGAAAATCATGAAATAACTTATTAAACACAAGTTCTTGTGATACATCATTTTCTTTTTGTTCAAAAATAGTTTATTGTTTAAAGGTTGTATTGTTTGCGGTCAATCCAGTTATTCGATAACTTAATCTTAATGATAAAAGGTTCACAAATTTTATAATGGCTGATAAATGTTTAACTTATCAATCATGGTGCTTGAAAATATTGTTAAAAATGGGATATGATCTTTGTGCTGGTTTTTCTAATGCTCCATAATAATGTGCTCTAAAATTATCAAAATTACTCTTGCCAAAGTTTAGGTAGATATGATTTCTGACAATTCTTATTCATTGATAATGTTTGATTTATCTCTCCAACGACCTTACTGTCAAAATAATACATGCTCGTTGACTCTTCTAATTTGAATAATGAACTTGGTTGTTGATTCAACAATATTTTTAGTAAATGGTACAATATCTGCAAACCTTATTTCCCAATATTCTCTTTGTTTTGGATTCCCATATGACAATTCATATGGTTTCAGCAATAGTGTTTAGTATTGTATGGGATAATAATGAGATATTTGTGTGAATGTGGATATAGATATAAATATGTTGTTAATGAGTAAGGTGGGAAAATTGTAGAAGGAATATGTCTCGAGTGTAAAAGTAAAATCGAAGAATTTATTATCAATCTAAAGAAGATGATAAATTAACTAAACATTACATTTACCTTGATACACCAGTTTCAGATGTAGCAGTATAACCTACAAAAGGCGGACAAATCAATATAAATCCATGATTACATGTTTCCAATAAACCAATAATCTTAATGTCTTAGATGGCATATATGAGTGTAACCCTATTATGTGCTATGACTGATTTCATTTCTAAATTGTCTTTTATTAAAGTGTCTATCAACCTTTAAAATATGAATTTCATTATTTATTAAATTCTGTATTAATTTTTTATATAAAGGTTCTACATTATATTCATTTTGTAAAACTTTCTTTACTTCACTTTCCGCGTGTCTCAATTCACCAACCGACATTAGTAATTGTAATCTTGTAAATATAAATCTAAAAAAGGCTATACGCGGTGTTAAATTTGAATCGTTTTACATATCCTTTACTATTATTATCAGTCACCGTTTTTAAAAGCCATCTCGACCATGCGATAATTATCTAATGCCAATAAGGATTAAACAACAAGATATAGACGTAATCAAAATCCCATTTTAGACCATAAAACCATTGTACACTATTTTGATTCAATGCTAAATAGAAATTCTTTGAAAGAAAATCCTCGTTGATGTAATTCTCTCAAGAAATAAAATTTAAAAGATTTTATCAATGGATAATCTCTACTCAAACTACTGTTTAAAGTGTTAACCGCTTCAAGCCCATAAGGCTCTCCTATATCAAAGAATAATAGTTGCCAAGGTTCAGGATAAATTTAATGATTGACATATAATGACATGATAATATTAGGAACTAAGGATTCATCATCACATGAAGCTACAAATAATTTTCCAAGTTGTACAACATCTGATTTTCCATTGAGATTTTAATACTTTTAGGGTTTCTTGAAATTAATTCAAAAGTTTCAAACCAATTTCAGATAATAGTCATTATATCCATGTGAAATATCTTTTTCTAGTAATGGCGGAGGTGGCAATGTAGCTTTAATATTAAGATTTCACATTATTCTTTATTAACATTTTGAATTCGTCTTACATATATTTTTTTCAAGTCAATATAATTCGTAAAATAATCCTAAAATTTAAGATATGTCCAAGTGAAAAAAAAGTCAAATAATAGTGCTGTTTTTATAATTTATTAATGATACTCTCCCTAAGTTTACAAAAAAATTTTTGAATGATAAATAAATAAATAAATAAATATATATATATATTTAAAAAAGTCAATAGATTACATACCATTCCTCTAAATCTTTCCCCACTTTCAAAACGAATTCATCCCAGATTCACTTCTTTTAATAGAGATACGAAATTCTTTATAATCAAAATGACACATTGAATAAGTTTTGTAGCCGTACTAATCATTTCTTGAGCCAAGTCTACTTGAGAAACAAGTTTATCTATAATACCTTTGATAAATTTTTATTCATCATCAACATTATTAATTGATGCAAAGGATTTGCCAAATAATAAAGCTTTACCACGTAAATCATAAGTTGTTGAGAGCGTAAGTGGGACTCACTTTAATTTTTGATGGATAAGTCATTGTCACAAAACATTTATCTTTATCTTTGTCATTAAATACGTTGAAATGTATAGATACCTATTCTGACTGCATTATTTATTTTAGCTCTTGCAGCTTATAAAAATTCTTCAATTCCATATGATGACAGTGGTGTGCAAAAAAAAGACAATTTTTATAGTTTCACAACCATTACACCAATTTAACTATTGTTTTAAAGCTAAAAGGCAGTAGATTTTATTAAAAAAATTAATATGATATCCGTTCACCATTTTTCTCAATAACTTCGTTACAACGTCGTGGCATTGAATCTACAAGACTAATTAGAAGACTATTTGGAATTTTCTCCCACTCCTCACCAAAAAACTTCTAATTCAGTAAGATTTTTGGGCCTACGCTTCTCCACGTTTCTTTTAAAAACTGCCCAAAGGTTTTCAATTGGATTTAGATCGGGACTATTAGAGGACCAGTCCATAACCTCTGGGACATTATTACCAAGTAATTCCCGGGAAATACGGCCAGTATGCTTAGGGTCATTGTCTTGCTGTAATCGCCATTCACCCCTCAGCATACTATTTATCCCCGGGATATGCTCTTCCAATATTTATGTGTAATATTTTGCATCCATTATGCGCCTAAAACAAGTGAGACTTGTTTTACCTTTTACACAGAAACCACCCATGCGAATATTTTGCTTCGGTCTTTTGGCATAGGGCGAATTGGCCTTGCATTCTTATACCAATGCTTTATTGTATTACGAAACAATTGGAAAGATGTTTCATCACTAAATAATGTCTTTTCCCAATTGTCATCTTTGTGCTTTTGTTCCCATTCAACACGTTTTGTTTATGGACTAATGTGAGCATTGGTGTAGAAAGGGGAAGAGTATTCCGGTATCCAAGGTTAGCCGGGTGTCTCGATACTGTTGAGCGAGAGACGTTTATTCCAGTATCCTCCGATTTTTCAGCAATAGATCCAGCAGAAATTGTAGGATTTCTTCTAATATACTGGCCAATTGCACGGGAAGCATTGGTTGTTATTTTCTTAATACGACCATATTACCACCTTTGTGCTTTACATCTCCAGTTTCTTCAATTTTTTTAAGGTTTCGATGGATTGTTCCAAGTGGAAACTTTGTCAAAGAATGTATTTCAACAGCTGTTCGTATTCCCTGCTGCTTCTTGCTTAGATGCGACCATTTTGATGTTTGATAAAATATAAATTTTATCAATTGTTAGAAAAAATGATACTTGGATAGAGGCTTTTATTTCCGTATTTAATTATATCTTTTCCAAAATTGAGGAAGTTACACTTGTTGATCTTTTTCCAAAAAATTGTCATTTTTTTTTGCACACCACTTCATTACTGCCGAATTTTTTTCTTTTAACCAAAGCGAAGGGTAATGCAAGAAAATATCTCATCATTTTTTTTAGCTATGCCCGTTGTCACGAATTTGGTCAACAGTTTCTTCAGACGACATTGACTTTGTTAGATATCAAATTATTTTTTGGAAATATGAAAAAATCCACCGATTAAAAAACCATTAAAAAAAGTAAGAAAATAATGAATTGCAGGGTAGATATTTTTCTGGAAGGGAAAAAAATTCCACTTGGTAATCTTCATCCTGTTACCAAAATTATTCAAAAGATCTATGAGCTTTTTTTGCCTCTTTGTTATCAGATTGTTGAAAGTTCAGAAGTTGAAACGGAGGAGATTAATTTTGATAAACTAAATATGCCGCCTGATCATCCTGCTCGTGGCATTCATGGCACTTTTTATTTGAATAATAATTTGTTGCTTCATACTTATACTTTCAACTCTCAAGTAAGAGTTAAAAGTTATTACTGCTGGCAAGGTTTATAGGCAGGATGAAGATGATGCCACTCATACTCATCAATTTACACAAATAGAAGGTTTTGTGGTCAGTCACAATATTTCTTTTAGCCATTTAAAAGGCACATTAAACTTTAGTCTTCAAAGAGTTGTTGATATTTTGCCTTTGGATTAGGAATAGCATATCAGCCGATTCGGTTTTTTGGGCCTTTTTTCAAACCTTATGTCTTATTGTGTCTCGATGTTAAACACGAGTATTTTTAATGTGTAAAC